TCCATTGTTGGACAATTTATTTCTTTTATTAAGATAAACAAAAAAGGAAACAATGAACCTTCATCCTTTAAGCTTAACAAACCAAGAACTGGACAGGCAAGAAAATTACTCAATGTCACGGAGTAAACGTAAGAAAACTATTTCCAGTTTGGGGCTATTCTTAGCCCTATATTCTGAGATCAGCATACCCAGTGTCAGCACAGACAAAGTGGCTTGTACCATTTTCTCCCCCATTGCTCCTACAGTGCTCCTGCCAAAGGAAGACTTGTGGGAAGACAACTGACAAGATGGGGCATGTAAATAATACACATCTACTGAGAAAAACTCTTGCGCAGCAAGCTCTTCCATCTCGTTAGACAGAGGGTTTGAAGCAACTCCTCAGATTGTAAAAGTTTGAGAAACATGTCTTTCCAATGTTGCTGGGTCTCAGAAATTGACATAAATGGTACTTGATTACATACATTTCCACAGATATACAGCACCACTCTTCCCCTTGGACTTTATATTGTGCATTCTCAAATATGAAAATGTCTACATAAACTGAGCTAACCTAGTTCTTAATCAAGTAACACTGAGAAAAATATAGTAATAGTAGATATATTATCATTAATACTTAATACTCTCATTATCAGTCTCCCTGTACCTTCTCTTGCCCAATCCATCATCCTCAGGGCAGCCACAGTGATATCTGTAAAATGCAAATCCAATCATAGCAGATGCTGCTTAAAACCTCTAATGGTTCACAGGGACTCCAGATAAAGTCCTAAGCTCTTAATGTGTTTGTAAAGCCCTTTAAGAGCCAGCTTGGCCCTGCTCCTCTCCCTCCTTTATTCCCTTTCTTTTCCATGAACCATGCTCCACCCAGCACAAGGAGCTTCCATGTGGTCCTGTCACCATTACTCAGTCCATGGCCTCCATCTGGCCTGTCTGGAGTAGCCTCCCCATCTATTCCTCTCCAGCACCCTGTACTTCCTCTATCATAGCTGTACTAACCCTAAGTTCCGTGAAGGCAGAACTTCACCTCTATCTCACTATTCTTTCTCTAGTGCCTTGCTGAGTGAACGATGATAAAAATTAAAATGTCATGCTGCAGGAGTCAAAGGTCTGCTGACCCTGGAATTCTACACCCCAAGATGGTACCTAAGTCTACCTCGGAAAGCAAGACACAGACACCTAACTTCACCTGGATAATCTGCTATAAATAATTTCCCCATTGCTCTAAATCTCCCTTGAATCATCAGAGCTGTCAAACTTCTTAAGGAGGCAAGTTTCCTATATTTACTTTTAATTATGTATACATCTATTCTATAAATTGGTTCTACAACTCACAACTTGTATGAATAGCCACAAATCTTCAACAGCTCCCATTTCACTCGGAGTAAAAGCCAAAGTCTTTAAAATAGTCTAGAATAGCACTGTCCAATATAAATATAAAACAAGCCATATATGTAGCTTGAAATATTCTAGTCGCATTAAAAAATAGGTAGAATTAATGTAAATAATATACCTGTATTTTACTTAAGCTAACATATTCAAAATATCATTTTTACATATAATCAACATGAAATTATTAATAAAAGACTATATCTTTGAAATTCTATATTTTATACATTCAGAGCAGTTCAATTTGGATGCTAAATTTTCACTGGAAATACTTAATCTATTTCTAGAGTTCATAAAATTTGTAGTTGAAAAAGAAAATTCATATACCCAAGTTGTTCCAAACATACTTTTTCCAACATAGAGTTTTCCAATGACTGTATCTAGTAACCTTTTTGTGTTTATTTGTTTTTGTTTTTGAGACAGGATATCATTCTGTTACCGGGCTGAAGTGCAGTGGCACGGTCTCAGCTCACTGCAGCCTCCACCTCCCAGACTCTGGTGATAACTCTCACCACAGCCTCCCAAGTAGCTGGGACTACGGGTACATGCCACCATGCCTGGCTAACGTTTTGTATTTTTTGTAGAGATGGGTTTCACTATGTTGCCCAGGCTGGTCTTGAACTCCTCTCAAGTGACCCGCCCACCTCAGCCTCCCAAAGTACTGAATTACAGGTGTGAGCCATTGTGCCCAGCCTAGTACCCAATTTTTAAATTAAAATTCAGTTTTTCAGTCATTCTAACCACATTTCCAGTGCTCAATAGCTACAGGTGGCTAGTGGCTACCATAATGGATAGTGCAGGCCTTCAAATGTCCTAGGAGGTAACCTAGCCCGACCATCCTCCCGCCCTCTTTACCTCATATTAATTTTCCTGTTTCGTTTCCCATCAGTCTCCTACAGTGGTCTCCTTGCTATTCCTGCTCCTCAACTATACCAGACGGACTCTCACCTTAGAACCCTGCCCTTGGCTATTCCTCAACCTAGAATGCTCCTGTCCCAGGTATTCACATAGTTAACGTCTTTTCCTTCTTCAAGTCTTTGGATAAAATGCTATCTTCTCAAGGAGGCTTATGTAGACATTCTATTTGAAGTCACAATTGCACCCACTCCCACGTCTTTTCTACAGCATTTGCCACCTTCTAACATCACAGAGTTTTTGTTCTTGTTCTTGTTTTTATTTTCTTTATTTTTATAATTGTGTCTGTTTCTATCCCCTTCCCCACCAAATGTAAGCCTCATAATGGCAAGAATCTTTGTCTGTTTCATGGACTGACCTATACCAAACACCAAGATCAGAGTCTGACTCAGTAAGTATTTGTCGTAATGAATTTAACTTGGAAGAAACAGTGTGTTGATATAAGGTAACAATCATGAATGTTTTTAGAGCTAACAGATGCTACTTCAACCATGAAATAAGAACCAGAAAGATATCTACTCCAACTTCAACCCAGTAATAATAAAGGCCCCTTTACTCTTCATTTGTTCTGAGGGAAAAACTGGGTTATAAATTTAAGGAAATCTCTCAGAAAATACAGCAAAGCGATGAGAAGGAAAATAGGACAACTTGATAAAAAATTCAGGTAACTAGTTCTGGAAGTCTAAAATGCACATATTAGGAATTCCAGAGAGACAGAACAGAGGAAACTGAGAAGAAAATTTCCTAAAGGTGAAGGACATGAGTTTCCAAAAAATGAGAGACAGCATCACAGAGATCCATGGAAGAAATTTCTTTAGGACCCAGAGACAGAAATATTACACTTTCACTGACTGCTTCTCTCTTTACCTGAGGAGCTTTAGTCTCAAGGGAACTTAGTGCCAAATCCGCAGCCTAGAGCAGTAAGCAAACAGGGAAGCAGGCCCAACTACATTCCAACCACCCATGGCAAGAATTGTTTTATCATCCTTTCCTTTATCTTTCACTTGACATTCTTTATCTTTTTTTTTTTTTTTTTTTTTTTGAGATTGGAGTCTCCTTCTGTTTCCCAGGCTGGAGTGCAGTGGCACGATCTCAGCTTGATTTAAGTGATACTCATGCCTCAGCCTCTTGAGTAGCTGGGATTAGAGGTGCCCACCACCATGTCCAGTTAATTTTTCTTTCTTTTTTTTTATTTTATTTTTTAGTAGCGATGGGGTTTTGCCATGTCAGCCAGGGCTGGTCTCAAACTCCTGACCTCAGGTGATCCACCTGCCTTGGCCTCCCAAAGTGCTGGAATTAAAGGCATGAGGTATCAGACTTGGCCCTTCTTAACCTGTTTTTTAAAAAATCAGCTGAATTGTGGGCATTTTTAATAAGCCATTTCAAATTCTTTTTGGAACTGAGATGGGGTAACATAATAAATAAAACCCCACTCACTTAAAAAAAAACTGTATGCTAATTAATGTTTGCTTATTAATAGAAAAATATGGGCTGATCTAAATTTTTCTGCATAAAAATGAGGGTTTTCCAGGGCACAGTGGCTCATGCCTATAATCCCAGCACTTTGGGAGGCCAAGTTGGAAAGATCACAAGGTCAGGAGTTTGAGACCAGCCTGACCAACATTGTGAAACCCCGTATTTACTAAAAATACAGAATAATTTCTGGGAATGATGGCACACGCCTGTAATCCCAGCTACTCAGGAGGCTGAAGCAGGACAATTGCTTGAACCTGGGAGGCGGAGGTTTCAGTGAGCCAAGATTGTGTCACTGCACTCCAGCCTGAGTGACAGAGCAAGACTCAAAAAAAAAAAAAAAAAATGCAATCTGAATTTGCACAGTTTAGTTAGCAGTCTTATAGCAATAGTAATGTCCTAGTTTGACAAATATGCCATAGTTATAAAATGTTAACACCAGGGAAAGCTGGGTGAAGGGTATACGGAAACTCTCTGTACCATCATTCCAACTCTTCTGTAACCCTAACAATATTCCCAAATAAGAAAACAAAAGGTTGCCTCACAAAGGTAGAGGGAGAGGATACATTTGTCAAAACTCATCCAACTTCACAATGAAACTGTATGCAAATTATACCCCATAAAGTTGATAAGGCCAAAAATAAAAAATAAAAGATAGTTGCAAAGTATAGAACATGATGATACCATGTACATAAACCTCAGTAACACAGAAAATAATCATATATATTGTTCCTACATGAATAGGAGTGATACATAGCAAACTCAGGGCAGAAGTCACTTGGGAGGAAGGTGGGAGGAAGGCCCAGGACTAGGGCAAGACAAGTGAGGCACTCACCTCCAGTACAAAATGTAAGGGGTTGCCAAGACACTCAGCAATTAAGACAAATTAATGTAACAGTTTACAAATCAAAATGAAGGCACAAAAGGATCCATGATGAACCAGATATCAGAATTTAACCAGGCAAGATCAGTACAATGCCATGTCAAGCCATACTGGAGACTCAGGCAGGGAGGGGAACACCTGAAGGACGAGACTTTATCTATAACGCCTTCGTTTCTAAAAATAAAGAGAGCTCAGAAACAAAAGAGCCAAAGCCTGTGTCTCTATAGTACGTTCTGTACTTTTGTGTTTTTTGTTTCCTAATCAGTGCAACAAAAAATTATGAAAACAATGCAAGGTGCTCCAAGGTTGGTAAATTATTTTAGCGGTTTTATAAAAGTCCCCTTACCTGAAAAGTATGAATAGTTCTTGCCCATGCATGTTTTATGCAACAATATTTCATTAGTTTTCTAAAATCCACAGTTACTTCCAGGCCAGCCATATTATTAATGGTCAAAAATCTTCTCTTTCCAAAAGTTACATCAGTAACATCCTGTCGCCAAAACAAAGAACTATTTTGTATATCTTCAAATATGTTCTATGTTCAAAGATGTTCAAAGATATTCTATCTTTGGGTCAAACATAAAATGTAAGAATTGCCATTAAGAATTTCAAAAGGTTTAAAATTTGCATTTTAGCACAAATATATTCAAAGAATATATCTATACCTAAATATTTTAATAAACACAAATAGAAGTTTTCAGTCCTTGAAACTTATCTTCAGTTTGACTCTGTAAAGAACGGTCTGTGTTATTTCTTATTTTGAAGTCTATAAATTTCATTTCTTGTATTGACTACGTAAGTCTGAATAGATTCTTTGCAAAGTTTACTTTTCCCCACAGCTATCTACACTATGAGAATAAATACAAGACAACCACTTTTATAGTTTCTACATTTAAGCAGCAACAAAGGAAATGATGCTTTTTAAAATATATGTCTCATGTATGACTTTTTTGTCACTCAAGTACTTCAACTTTATTAAGAATGCTTCTTCGTAAAATCTTCCAGATAATATAAGAAACCCTTCCCAACCCATTTTATGAGGCCAGCAGTATTCTGATACTAAAGCCAGACAAGATATTACTAGAAAACAATCTATATCCTTCATAAATACGGATACAAAAAATTCTAAAACAAGAATGTCAACTCGATATCATTAGATCCTGAATCAATCCTAGGACAATAAAATGACCAAACATACCGTTTAATTGGTTAAGTGTTATTATCTTCTGTTTTCACTTACATTTGTTATGAAAAACATTTCTCCATTGCATAGTCGAACATTACTTTCAAAGTCGTGCTTATTTTTAGCAAAATCATGAAGAGTACCAGAATAGTCTTCACCACTGGCGTCTAGGTCATTATTTTGCTGACTTCCAGAGATATTTTCAGGGAGTAACTCTGAGAGGTATGCATTCCTGGTACAACAAATTTTATCACCAATTCTAAATACAAGTCTATTCTGATGATCTCTGGGATAGAAAATGATAATATATAATCAAAGTTTGGAAAGTCTCCATTTCATTTGTTTAAACATTAACTCCTACTCAGACTCAATCCAGTTCTCAGAATAATTTCCATATTTTCTTTATAACACTTTCATTCTCCAATGGGCAACAAGAAATCAGGCTCCCATAGCTGTTGTCTGATTATTTACACATACTCTCTGCAATGCCTCAAATTCAATGACATTCCCCAGCCAAATTTACTCAGGTTACAAATTTTGGCATAAATGCTGATGTCTCTCTTTCCCCTTATATTCTATAAGTTACCATAAATCTTGATTTTTTTTCTTTTAAAATTAATCCTATCCTCTCCAATCTCTCTTATCACTACCCTATTTGAGGTCTTACATCACTTATACATATTTCTATTATAATAATTATGACACTGTATCAGGATAACAGCAGCAAACTGAGGAAGTGGTGGTGATATGCCAGCTACTGTATTAAGTGCTTCAGGTACATTATTTCATTTCATTCTTACTACAACTCTGTAAGGGAAATTCTGTGTACATACCCGCTTTTATAGATGTGGTAAAGGGAAATGACCTGCCCCTTCATCACAGTTACTGGGACCCTGAGTATATGGCCTCAAGTCCATGCTTTTTGGCCTCCTGTTGGGCTACCTGACAGATTTTTGTGTATCTTACCTCAGCAGCCAGGCACTCCACCTGTACCTTAAACATATCTAGGATGTCTTACTTAGTAAAAAGCAGGTATTGGTCAATTCAAGAGAAATGAATTAATTTTTCCTATGTCCGAATGCAGTGGCTTGTCTACACTAATATTTCTCTGGTAGACATTCACTAAGTTGCTCTCTGCAGGCACCCTGTTGCTAAGGTTCTCAAAAACACCAGACACAAAATTTTTAAAATTCCCCTGAGCTCCCAGTGCTCACCCTGGAGAAGCTGAAGGCTGCCAAGCTGGAAACCAAAAAGAAAATTTCACTAATTTTTCTTCTTATTCCCCTCATTACTAAAACGCCAATTCCCAAGGATGTATTCATATATTGTATTTAACTGAAGAGATCGTCATATTTCACAAATGAGAAAAAACTATTTTTAAATATATAGAAATAAGTGACAAATGTCAAAGCAAATAAAAGAACAGCAAATTGAAGAAGGACTGTCCTTAAAAGTCTCAGTTCTCTTAGACACTCACTTGATGAGGTGGCCTGTGTAGTGTTTACAACAGCAGTCGTTAATTAGGTCACAGTCTTGCCTGAAACACATGAAAATGCAGGGGTCACCATTAATGGTATGTGTTACATGCTTATTTTTGTTATCAGCAATTATGACATACTAGAGTCTACAAAAAGTTTCCAACACTTTCTTCAGGAAATAGTATTTTTGTAATTTTATCTCAACATAAGCTTTTGTTCCATTCAGAGTCCCTATGTTTCTAAATATGGTATTTGGTGGCAAGAGCCCTGTTTAGGAAGTGCCCTCTGCATGTCTGCCATTGACATACCCCAAACTAAGAAACAGAATTAACAGTAATGAAATATGGGACTCGACCATCCAAATAGGATCTACATTAATTAGTTATGAGATTTCAAAGCTAGATTAAAAACATTAAAATATTATAAATACTTTACCTTCTAAATGCAATAAATTGTGATGTTTGTGCATTTTGTAAGTCATGTTCTTGTAGTAAAGTTTTAACTGTAGAATATAAATCTGACAATTAAAGAGAATAAAGTTAACACAGAAAATCACCAAATTATAACACAGTTTCTATGAAGAAACTAATTTGGAGTTCCTGCTAAGGGGCCTGGGAAAATATCTCCCCAAATGGAATACAAGTTTACCATGGGAATGTCAACCTCATTCCTCACATCAGCTAGGGCAATAAGAAAGAGAATACAAAGGATTCAAAGACAGCCCACCCTCAGCAGAGAAGTCAACCCCTGGCCAAGACAGCTCCTCATTTGTAATACACTCACTGTGTATTTGCTGATACTTTATGAACACTGAATTTAAGAAATGAACAAGAGTACAAAATGTGTAACAGCATGACTAATGTAAAACTTCCTGTTTTAAGTCCTTGTGATCATATTAGTAATAAGTTAGAACTTGAGAATCTATAGGCTTTATATGTTATGTCACATAATATGCAGGACAGCCACACGAGGTAAGTGCTGTTATATTCACAGCTGATATTCAGCTGGTACATACTCATCTAAAACATAGTGATACTTCTGTCTTAGCTGGAAAATAGCCACTCCCCTAATGCTCTACTCCCCACCCCAATCATCTCTTTCCTTCTCCCCAGACCTCCCCATGATCTAGCAACTAAAAGGTTAAACGTGGCATAGCGGGACATCCATTCCAGTGGTGCTTATGCCCTACTGCCACGGGGTAGTCTGACTTCTGATGACATCTATATTATGAATGTGAAAACTAAGGCTCGCGGAAATATTAGCATTTTCCCATGTGTGTTTCCCTAGTAGCAGATGAATCACAAGGGAATTTGCCCATGCCTTGTGATGTCCTGCTCTGGGAAGACAAACTTAGCTGCCTACTGAACCTTTCATTTTCCAGATGAAGGGAAGATTACCACTAGAAAACGGCCAAGATTCAGCTCACCCTCAGCCAACCCCTGGCCACCAGAGCAGGAATTTCCAAAGGTCTCCCAGCATACTGTTCTTTTTTACATGTATAGGACAGCACTGTTCCATACCTTGCTTTTTTCACTTTCTCCACATCTTGCAGATCAATATGTACAATGCATCTTACTGATTCTAAGATATACATTTTTCTCACACTTTAGCATCTCTGAAACTCTAGACCAAATAGGAATCCTGTCTTAGGTCTTGGTACTTTGTAATAATGGGCATAATTTACTTAATAACTTAATTATTAGTGAAAATATATTATATGCTTCTCTAAGGAATATTTACTCAATTTCCTCGAAAAAGAGACAAATTTTCCAACACTGGTTTTTAATTAAGTTAGAAAAACAGCATCAGATAAGTTCTGCTACTAGTCTAAAATGGACAACTTTTTTAAAAAGTACATTCTCATTAATGTAAAGAATGGGTACCAGAAAGAAAGCCAACAATGTTTTAGGTAGATTTAAGTGAAGTGGCAAAGAAGAGATCTACTAACTGTCTAAGCCTCATTTTCCTCATCGTAAACAGTACCTACTATTAACTAGGCTGTGAGAATAAATATTAGCTATTAATTATTTAACATACATTTCTAAGTACAAAACAATATACAGCTTATAAACCAATTTATGTAAAACTGAAATAAATAATATATAGCTATAATAAGGTTAAAAGGATAAACACCAAACTTTTACTATGTTGTGACCTTAATGGGATTGTCAGGGGAAGAAGAGAAAGGAAAATTAGGGAACATCAGTTCTTACTTCAAACATTATCGTATCATTGACTTTTTTTTTCAAAGGAGTATAAATTGTTTCTCAAACCAATGCCCCCGCAATCTAAAGGAATCTTACAACAAATTAAACCAGTCACCAGTATTTAGTTAGGTCTACTTGATTCTTTGTACTCTGATGTTTGAAAATATACTTTTAAATTATGTTTCCCACACCAGAATGAAAGCACAATAACCTCAGGGATAATTTTTTTTTAATTTTTTCCTCTGCTTAACTATTATATCTAGTATATAACAGGAGTTCAATAAATATTTGCTGAATGAAAATAGAAAAAAAAATAGGTTCTACTATTTCAAAAACACACACACATTATAGAACACTGTGTATGATCCCATTTATTTAAATACATTGTTGTATCATGTGAATGATCACTAACCCAAGAGATGTGAGATTGGACACAAAGGGGGAAAGGTTGACAGATAAAGCTGTATGCCATTAATTTCACATACACAGTCAAAGTGGTTAAGTGGAAAGGATATACCTTTGAGAACAGTGGCAGCTACAATAAGTCCTTAATAACAATCATTTAAACCTTTACTAATTTTGAAAAAACCATTACATCATTTTTAAAATGTTTGCTAGGTAAGTTTATAATGCCAACAAAGATCAATAGATAGGTTCAACTGATTTAAATAAATTCACTTGCAACAGCTAATTAAATGACATCTATTAGTCACAACAAACTGACATTTACAGTGTCTCATAACTGATGAATGTCCTCAACCCTCGTAATAGCTCCACAGGCAGTTCCACTATGGTTCCCATTTTATAACGGGTTAAGTGACACGACACAGGTGATACACATAAGGATAAGACTTCCTGTCCCACAGTCTTTCTCAACCCTGTCATGCTGTCGTCCTAACATCCATAATTAGAAGCCAACCTTTTGCCCATTTTATAAAGCAGAACTATTAGAAATTAAACTCGGCAACAGTTTGACAGTCATAATTTTTGTTTCAGAAACAAAATACAAGTATTTGCTTTTATTAGCATTAAGTATTTGTATTCAAAATAAAAATATTTGCTTTTCAAATTGCAAGGAAGGAAAAACTTCATTAATTAAGACTACTTTCTCCTAAATAAACCTGAATTATTGGGGCTTTGCTTTATTTTAAACGAAATCATCTATATCCATTTGTTCCCTCAACAAAATTTACCGAGCACTTATGTGTTGAGAGCTTACTTCTTTACAAAATTCTACAGTATTCTGCTTTTGATGATTACTAAGTTAGTTCATTTATTTACTTTTTGTTTTTCTTGAGACAGAGTCTTGCTCTGTCGCCAGGCTGGAGTGCAGTGGCATGATCTCAGCTCACTGCAACCTCCGTCTCCCGGGTTCAAGTGTCCTGTCTCCTGCCTCAGGCTCCCAAGTAACTGGGACTACAGGGGCACACCACCACACCCAGATAATGTTTGTATTGTTAGTAGAGACAGGTTTCACCATATTGGCCAGGATGGTCTCAATCTCTTGACTTCGTGATCCACTCACCTCGGCCTCCCAAAGTGCTGGGATTACAGGCGTGAGCCACCACTCCTGGCCTATTTATTTTCAATGTCTCATTTTTTGCTAGCAATATTTCTCTTTACCCATCAAAGAAAATTACAAGGAGTCATTTAATAACTATGTTACAAAACTGAAATACTTATACTTAACCCTACATCTCATAGAAGTTTATACTTACAAGAGTGATGATTATTTTTAGATAACTGAGAACTGGAATCCTCTTCTGGGAGCCTGACAAAAATAAATGTCTTATCTTGAATTGAGATGGGTAATGTTGGATTATCAGAGATATTTAGTTCTGCATCAAATTTTGGAAATTGACGTCTTGAGATTCTTGAATAAAGATAACACACACAAAGAACATTATCATTCAAAAATGTCTTCATGTATGAACAGAGCTAATGTCCTTATAATAAGTAATATCTATTAATAGATAACAGAGAGAAAAGCTTATCGAGGTATGCATTATAAATAGTAAATACATTTTATAATAAAAGACAATAAAGTTAGGGTACTACATGTTAGCAATCAGTCCTTAGCAAACTAAAAGAATCAAAAAAATTATCAGAGGATTTACTAGGCACCATTATGAAAACCTGGTCTATTTGTCTCCAGATCACAACAGAATCATGCAGGAAGGCAGTACCCTTATTTCACAGGTAAACAGTGTGAGGTTTAGTCAAATATAGTGGCTTGCCCAAGGCCACAAAAATAGAAACAGGAGAAGTGGGAAGCAAGCAGGCCCATTTGACCCCATATCCCTTTCTATTTAAATTAATTTGAACTGGTTCAGGCCTTTTCACATGTTTACACTACGTTCTTCTCCTTTCTTCTCTGTATATTTGACATACGATCCCACTTTCCCAAATGAACCAAGTATCCACATCTAGTTGCTTCTATTCCTTCCTCATCCTTCTTTTATTCTTACATTTCCCAGACTAGCAAATCATATCAGAAAACAGAATAAGGTACAGTTATTTGGAAGCAGACTGACTCTCCAAACAGACCTAACAGCAGCCTGGTTATCAAAGGTGGTGGTACCCTACTGCGTCTTCTTCAGGCTTTCCCAGACAAGAGTGGAAAGGAACAGAGAGGGAATGAGGCTGTTCTTGCTGGCAACAGCCCAGATTTAACTGCGACCTTAAAAATCATCATAGATTTCCCGTTTTGCTTATGACCCAAGGCATATAGCACCTTTTATCTTCAGGAGCTTTTCCCTGGTATATAGCAAAGATCCTTCACAGTCAAAAATATTTGAGGATGACGGTTAAGACAAAATGATGAAAGGAGCACAGCCAGAACCAAATGATATTGAAAGAGTCACTAAAAAGAATTCCTGAGTTTCAGATAAAATTGAGTTCTGAGAAATCTAATATGCTAGATTCCTCCAAGTTTCTCGAACTTTAAAATGACCAATCATCTACCACAAATGGGGTGGCCTTTAAAAAGATTACAGGAATATTCCACATCCCACTCCATTAGTTTTCTTAATGTCTTAATATGAACCCACACTGTCTACACTATTCCTGTCAATTCCTCCTCTACTCCCACCATTCGGTCCAAGGTAGACAGAAGCTTAGAGAAAGTAGGTTTTGAATGTTCTAGTTCAAGCCTGTCTGGCCCACAGGCTACATGTGACTTTAAATGCAGCCCAACACAAATTCATAAACTTTCTTAAAACATTATGAGATTTTTTATTTTATATATATATATATATATATATTTTTTTTTTTTTTTTTTTGAGACAGAGTCTTGCTCTGGCTGGAGTGCAATGGCGCAATCCCAGCTCATTGAAACCTCCGCCTCCCAGGTTCAAGTGATTCTCCCGCCTCAGCCTCTGGAGTAGCTGGGATTACAGGTGCCCACCACCATGCCTGGCTAATTTTGGTATTTTTAGTAGAGAGGGGGCTTCACCAGGTTGGTCAGGCTGGTCTCGAACTCCTGACCTCAGGTGATCCACCCGCCTCAGCCTCCTAAAGTGCTGGGATTACAGGCATGAGCCACTGTGCCCAGCCTATAATTTTTTTTTTAAAGCTTACCAGCTATTGTTCATGTTAGTGTATTCTATGTGTGGCCTAAGACAATTCTTCTTCCAATGTGGCCCAAAAAAGCCAAAAGATTGGACACCCTTCTTCTAGTTTCTGCTACAAACAACTGAAGAATATTCAAGCAACAAAACATTTCGTAAAAAACGGGTAAAAACCAGAGATATACTTTGATCCAATGACTAACATAGACTCAGTATTCAAAGGTCCCATTATATCTAGAGATTTTAATACAGTCACATCAATTAATGATAGGGATATGTTTTGAGAAATGCATCATCAGGCAATGTTCATCATTTTGTGAACACTAGAGAGTGCACTTACACAAACGTAGATGGTCCAGCCTACTAGACATCTAGGCTATATGGTACAGCCTGCTGCTCCTAGGCTACAAACCTGCACAGCATACTGAATGCGCAGGCAATTGTAATACAATGGCAAGTATGTGTATATGTAAACATATTTAAACAGAGAAAAAGTAGAGTAAAATTAGTTTTATAATCTTATGGGACTACCATCATAGATGCAGCAGCATAGATACCATCTGCTGCTGACCAAACATTATGTGGTACATGACTGTATTAAAATAAATAGCATGAAATAATAATGATTGTGATTTTTCACATGTATGGATTATGGAGAAACCAAATATCTGAGCTGACAGAGGATAACTACAAAGGCTTATAAAAAGATGAAGGGAGGAGAAGGGTTCTTTCCTATTTAAGGGAAGTAATACATCATGGGTGCCTCCAGGATTCATCTAGGAGTGAAATACCACATTCAATTATTTTGCTTTCAGCTTTCTCCCACAAAAATTAGGGGATATTTCTTCCCCAATTCTCCCTTGAATGTGAATGAAGTTATTTCCAAATCTCCATTCCCCTTGGGCTTATTCTAGTCCTTAAGCTTAATATAATTTTAATTCATATACACCCTTTTGAAATCAGGAAACCTCATCCATTTTTAAATTTCAATAATAACTTATGCTGGACCAGTAATGAAAAACATTAACTGTGCTTTTCTAACTGTGGGGCAAAGGTTTACAGTTGAAGAATGGAAGTGTTTTGCTAAAAGGGATAGTAAATGGATTGTACTAAATCATTCTAATTCAAAAGACATTTTTTTTTTTATTTCTAATACAACAGGCAGAAAATGCAAACTCTCAGTAATATTATACCTTGTAGCATTGTCCACAATTAGCTGAGATTCTGCTCTATGGTTTGTCTTTAGCTCAATAGCACAATTTCTTGACTGAAGAGTCTCAAAAAGATCTTTCAGCAAGTTACCAGGTTCAATACTGGGTAACTGTCTAATATCACCTAAAAGATTAAGAAAAATAGATACAGGTTTTAGGTAACCAGGATGCTAAAATTTAGAAATTTATTTTTCTCTCTACTGATACATATCATAAAGACTTATTCTGAGAAAAAATACCCCCAAGGTTGTTTAAAATTATTTAAGAGTTTAAAGTTAAATATTTAACAAAAAATAACATTTAAATTAAACAGTATAAGATATAAAATAGTAATAACACAAGGTAACATAATCTAAATTGAACATCTTTCATACCTATAACCACAGGGAAACTGGGTAGAGGCATATGTTTTAGCCAACATATTAGAACAAGAAAAAAGGCCTTAGACATTTGTAGTTAGCTCCTTTTTCAGTCACATTCAATGTCTTATTGAACATGGAAGAATCTATGGCCTCAAATACATAAAATAAACGTACAAAATATCAAATAAACAAACTAAATGCATCTGATAACAGATACATTTCAGTACTTTACTGATGATGTTCTGCTCTAGTAAAAATCTTTTTTGCTTGCACCACATAAGCCCTAAATATAAGAAAAACATGTACTGGGGGAAGCGGAGAGAAGGCTTAAGCCATTAATAGAATCCTCCAATACCTAAAAAAATAGTTTTTATATACAACATGATTCTCCAATTATGATTTTACTTTAAATCAAATATCTACCGAGCACAACTACCCAATACAATCTAACTGAATCTTATCAGAATTGGAAGAATCTAAGAGGCTGGTGAGGTCTAGTTTGAGTTATTAGCTTAGAATCATAAAATTGCTTTTAAGTGATCTGTAGTTCAAATTTTTTATTATTTCCAAATGATCCACGTCCTGATTTACTCTGAATCTGTGGCACTTTTACTATTTTAACAGCCATCATTTAGGTGATTAGCAGTAAGCCATCACAACCCTATTTCATTCACATCCCAGCCTGCTATTATCCTGGCTAAAACAAAACAACCCACACTGATCAGGAGAGTGATCAGACTTAGTGTAGCTTTAGCATCAGTTCTGAAAAACGGTTTTTCACCTTTAGGAAATGGTGTGGTAAGATGGTGTAACCAACCAACTAACCACAATACTTTGAAATAAACACCAGAATTCCAACAATATTTTAACTTACCAAGGATAATAAGCTTAGAAAGTTTGGAGTGCTCACACAATAAATTTAAGACCGATTTGAAGATTCCTACAGATACCAAACTCCCTTCATCCACAACCAGAACTTTAACTGAAGAAAATTTCCATGGTTTGTCTGTCATCATTTTTTGGTTCCATAAATAGAAGCTATAGTTGACCTACAAGCAAAGTATGGCATTTCCAAAGTCAGGTTATAAAATCTGTAAAACTAAAAATTAATAGCAAGTTATTTTAAGGCAAAACTCTTAAATTGGCAGGGGTGGGTGGGAAGTAGAAAAACACAAAAGTTACACAAATGAATATAAAGAAAAGACAGACCAAATAAATCTAAAAACAAAAAAAGGGTTAAATTGTTCCAAAATCTCAACACTTCCCTCATCGTTTTTAAACACAGAAAGCTCCCTATTCTTTTCCATTGCCAAATAAACCTTCCGGTGGCCATCTGAGATATCCCACTGAAGCCCTCCCGTTCTCCCAAGCACAGTACTCCATTCTGAAATAAAAGCAGTGATTTCTCAACTTAATTATGAAAATACTATTTTTTCTTTCAAATACTCTAAACTTTCTCACCTCAACTTGTAAAAAAACTACCACCACCAGCCCCACAACAATTAACAAAATTATTTATTACAAATATAATAGTACTTATTATTTTTAAATACAGATGAGAAAAAAATGTTTGTAAAATTCCAACAAGAGAACATTCAATATTTTAGTGTATATCATTCTACAAATGTTTCCATGTCATCAGTATGAGCACTTAAAGGTTGAGTATCTTTGATCTGCAAATTCAAAATCCAAAATGCTGCAAAATTCTTCCAATTTTAATATATATGCTGCCGAAGAGAGCACTGCAAAATTCTTAATTTTTTGAGCACTGACATAATGCTCAAAGGAAATGCTCACTGGAGCATTCCAGATTTTCAATCTCTCTTATGTACAGATTTTCTAAATGGTGTATCACATCTTCATCTAATTTTTCTACTGAAACTAGATTCAACATGTCTATTAAGTAAAGCCTTCATATTTCCTACCCAAATGCATCAATTTCCTTCAATAAAACCCCCTATGCTCGCGGTGGTCATGTCTCACAACATTCTAAGTTAGCCATTTCTTTTCTCTTACTTAATATAGTTAATTAATTATCTTAGAAATGCTGCCATGTTCCACTGTATTTCTAGTGCCACTAGCTCAATACAGGCTCCATCTATCAGCACCGTGATGATTCCAATAGCTTTGCAGCCAGGTTCCCCTACACACAATCCCAGGATGGGATTGTCTAATAAAATACAGGAAAGCCAGTTAAATTTCAACTTCAAACACACAATAAATGATGTTTCAGTATATGCAAGTCAATGAATCATTTGATACATACTTATACTAAAAAAATTATCCATATTTTTATCTGCCAAATCTGGCAACCCTAGTCCAAGGATGATAAATGAAACTCCAGTGCTCCTTCTGTGCTCTTGCACTCTCTCCTAAGCCTAAATATGGCTTCAGAAATGTTCTCTCAGCATCTCAAGTCGATATGAAGAAACTAACAATTAATCAGTTAACACATAGGATTAAACTTGGCGATGACCCCTTTTGGTGTCCCCTTCTAATTCAGTCCTTCAGACTAATCAGACATGAAAACATAGTATAAAAAAAAAATCATAAACTGATCAGAAGACTCTTCCACCGATAAGCTACACCGAACATCTCTAGGTCTCCATTCATTCATGTGATAAATAAAGATAATAGGCAAGATATGTTAAATGGCTCATGGCTCTGTGATTCTATATGATCTTCCTTAAAACTTCTTTATTTCAATCTCTTGCTTAGGAACCTAAATGGCCTCCTAGTAGATCAAGTTCGAGTTTCACTGTTAGGTGTGCAATATCTGTAATAATGGCACCATGGAAAGAACAACAGGCTGGAAGGCCAGAAATCTCCGTTTCAAGTCCTAGTTCTACACCTAACCAAGATCTTGGGCAAGATGTTTAACATCCTCAAACTTCAACTAGCTCTTCTGTAAATGTGGAGATAATATCACTTTATCAAGGATATAATGAGATAAGTCAAAATACTTCACTAACTTTAAAGCTGGAATTCATTGTCTAACCCAAGTTTAATTTCCACCATTCTGTCAGATACAGGCTTCACTCCAATCAATGAAATCACCTCAAAACCCTCTACACACACTATGATCATATTCCTCAATGCCTTTGCAAGGTCTTTCCCCTAAGTCCAATGTCCTTCTCCTCACCTGAGCCTCCATGTTCCCTGGAGTCCAATTCAATGATTACCTTCTTCCGAAATCTTCCAACTACAAAGTTTCTTTAGCTATAAAATGGAAGTTCAGGGCTAAGGCTAGAGGAACCTCTCCAACTCTTTACAAGCTTAAACTCCATGATTCTTAATTATAGCCAATACTATTTTCTTCAAGAATGTTAATTTATTTTTACTATGTGACTAGTGTTTGTCAGGCACTGTTCTAAGTGGAAGAAATAAAGAATTATACCAGATGAGCAAAGTCCTCACTTTAATCCTACAGAATATAAGCCTTTCACTTCCATTTCCAATGCTATTCAAAATACGGTCTGTGGACTGCGACATGTTTGTAACCAGTCCCCATGAGAAACAGATACTGTATAAGCATCTAAACTAACTATATCATTACGCCTACACTTTAGGGCAACTGGTTTTTTTCTGGTTTTTAGAGAGGGTCTTACTGTGTCACCCAGGCTAGAATACAGTAGTGTAAACATGGCTCACTGCAGCCTCAACTTCACAGCCTCAAGCGATCCTCTCATCTCAGCCTCCCCAGTAGCTGGAACTACAGGTGCATGCCACCATGCCCAGCTAATTTTTTAATTTTTTGTAGACATGGGAGTCTCGCTATGTTGCCTGGGCAGGTCTCAAACTCCTGAGCTCAAGTGATCCTCCCACCTTGGCCTCCCAGAGTGCTGGGATTATAGGGAGGAACCACCGTGCTGGGCCTGATAGTTTTTTTCATAAGACTTTCTCAATGAAGGAAGCAGTGCACTGATTGACTTCTACTATTAGCTCCTTTCTCATGCAAACTGGTCACAATTTACAGACTGGCTGCTTTAAAAAGCATTGATCTAAATGACTAGTTACTGCAAGGCAAGGACCTGGAAGACATTCAAAATATTCCTACTGATTAAGAAATAAGTTTGTCTTCAAGGCAAATGTTTTATCTCCAGATAAAATGTCAAAGGTTTTACCTGACACAGTGTGTAGGCATGAAGACCAGTTTTTTGTCTTAGTAAGCCAGCTGCTTTCCCTGTAGGTGCTGTGAGCAAAACTTGTATATCCTTGCTCGCCTCTAGTTGACTTTGCTCAGTAAAGGTAATCCATTCTTCTGAAGAACTCTGGTCTTGTTCAAAATCTTCACAAGCCTTTTTTACTTCTCTTTCTTCCAACTGCTCTATATGCTTAAAAAGATGGCTAACGATTGTGGTCTTCCCACATCCACCTTTCCCACTTATGACTGTCACAGGATTGGAGCAAATCATTTCCAGAGCAGCCACCTGATCCTGATCCAGCTGAACTTCACTTATTTCTGCATTAATTTCACTTTCACCATTCGTCAAAATACGGTCATCACCGTCCTGTGTATCCACAGGATTTTCTAATCTTGCTTCATCAGGTTTGCTCTCATTCAGTTCATCATCCCTTCCTGAATTCTCAGGTACTGTGGTGTGAATAGAGGCAAGCACCTTTTTGACATCAACACATAAATGCCACGGAGGGCTCTTCATCAGGTCACAAATTGAAAAGGCGATGGCTCTTTCAGCCTGGTAAAGGTCGTAAAGGAAGACACAGGCCTTCTCATATGTTACCACACCAATATCCTTCAAAAACTTCAGAGACTCCGAAGCATCAGGAAATGACATGTGACGTGACAATGCCAAAGTTAAGTCATTTACTTCAACGTATGTGTGCCCATGTTCTCTACACATCTCCTTCAGTTTTGAATATATTATTAATGCATTCTTCTCCAAGTCAGCCATCAACTGGAGAAGAGGCTGGCACTGACAAAACGCTATCCAACTTGCCTCACATCGCAACAGGTTCCATTCTCTGTAGGTTATCTTTAAGAACAAAAGTTCAGGTTGGTTTATAAACATCATAATAGCTTATGAATATGTTCTTTATTAATAATTTTTTAAAACCCAGAAGACATGAACTTCAACAAAATTTGGAGAAAAATACTGTAGAACATCACTAATTTTTTTAAATTGGCTATACTGTAGAGATCTATATAATTTTTTAATTAAAATTATGTCAAACTAATACGAATACAGTTTTAAAAGTGAAATATCATAAGGCTTATCACAAAAAAATATGAATCCTTTCCTTATCCTTTCTCATGGCTTCTAAATGCAACATCTCCAACACTTTAGTTATTTCTTCCAGAATTTACCTCCATAGTTCTAAGTACTATAGATATTTTTCCTTGATTTTTAAATGATTTCAGATATTCATTATTAACTCCTTACTATGGCTAGTCTGTCTCTATGGAAGTTCATTCTATTTTATACCGTTACCTCCACAGGTGCTTCTTTGGTTCCTATATTTGAAAAATGTTGCAGTACACATTGTGTTAAATTTTGGTTAAATAGGTATTTATTATGCTTATGCAAATAGGATTCATGGCTGAGTGACAAATGTACTCTGTTACATTAAGTTTTTTGTTGAACTCTGTGTGTATCATGAAGTTAACATCTGCCTCATTTTCTTGGCTTGTTTAGTTTTCTATGTATACTTATCAACAATTCTGCCTAAACTCTACAGAAGAGATACAGAACTCCCTTCACCACAATCCACTGAGCACATCATCTATTGGCTCCATTTTTTCTTAATGGATTCATCACTCCTGAGCTCTTCATACCTTTTATGGACTGAACTGTGTCCCCACAAAATTCATATTTTGATGTCCTAACCCACAGTATCCTCAGAATGTGACTATATTTGGAGACAGGGTTTCAAGTAAGTAATTAAGGTTAAATGAGACTATATACCTCATTAATGAGGTCCTCTGGATGCGCCCTCCTCTAATATGACTTGTATTCTTACAAGAAAAAGAGATTAGGACACAGACTGGTAAAGAAGGAAGACCACATGAAGACATAGAGAAAAAATGACCATCTACAAGCCAAGGAGAGAAGCCTCAGAAGAAATCAATCCTGTCCACACCTTGATCTCAGACTTGTAGCCTCCAGAACTGTAAGACAATAAATTTCTGTTGTGTAAGCTATCCAGTCAGCAGTACTTGCTCTGGAAGCCCCAGCAAACTAATACAATACTTGGATAGTGGTTTACATGCTGAATGGTGGGATATCAAACCTCCTTTTCCCATGAGTTCCAGAATGCTGCAACCAGGCTTAAACTCTCCATGTAGATTCTTCTCTGAGAAGAGTGACTAAACAGGAGAAAATACTTTCAGATCCTGACAACACAGCAGGGAGGGAGGAGACTGTTCCCTAATGAAAAACCTGAGTCACCACCAGATAATCTCTGCCTTATCCTCCCCTGGTATCCACAAGCCTAGAAACTCTCAGGTGAATGGCATCAGGCAAGAGGAATCTCTTTCCTTTTGCTGGGGTGGGAAGCAGTAATCACTTCATGCCCACACCGGGGAGAGAATCTGGGACTTCAACAGCTTCTTAAACAGGAGTTCACTTAATCTAGGAGGCAGATAATACAGTAGATGACATGTAATGCTTAAAAATATTTGCTTTTTAAGAGTAGGTGGAAAGCCAGGTGCAGTGGCTCATGCCTATAATCCCAGAATTCTGGGAGGTCAAGGTGGGCAGATCACTTGAGGACAGCAGTTCAAGACCAGCCTGGCCAACATGGTGAAACCCTGTCTCTACTAAAATACAAAAATTAGCTGAGTGTGGTGGCACATGCCTGTAATCCCAGCTATTAGAGCGCTGAGGCCGGAGAATCACTTGAACCTGGGAGGCAGAGACTGCAGGGAGAGAAGAAGGCTGACCCTATAATCTTGATAGACATAGCCTCAAACTCATTTGACCACAAAGAAAAACAAAAGTTTCTGTGCTTCACCAGGACTATGCTGAGCCTAGCAAGGGCGAGAGTAAGGGCCTGATCACATCTCTTTTCTACACTGCCTAGGTCTCAACAAATGTTTAATCAATTGTATTAGCCTAACACAATGTATACTGCTAATAATAAAATGTTATATAATTTATTCTTGAAATGTGAACAGGCTCTAAAGATCTCTAAAGATCTAAAAAAATTATCCTCCCTTCTCAGTAAGTGTATAAAGAATTTCTATGCTTATTGGACTTTACAGGGTGTTTATTGAACTTATTGGACTTTATAGAACTTATTGGACTTTATAGGGTTTTTATTTTTTTTAAACAAAAAGGCAAACTATTATTATCTATTATTATCTCACATATCATTGCTCTTCCACTCTTTTCCACTGAATAAATATATATAATAATCTCATATTCCAGAATCTCATCTTTAAAAACATACTGAATTTATAGACATTTTATCTAAGGGAAAAAGTCCTCATTCCTGTATTGCTCAAATTCAGCATCTGCAAACATTGAGGTTCCAAGAGTTTTCTCAGAGTTTCTCAACTGTATTTTTCTTCGGAAAACCACCTTATAACCAAGAACTACCAAGATTAAGTACCACATTTGGTGTCCAATACCACTGGAGCCTCAGGGTGTCACTTTACTACTCATAGTCTCTAATAATAAGAACAGAAGTGGATTCATTTGTAAATGATGTTATGTATACAATAAAAATCAAATGACATCCTGATGCACCAGATGAATAATCAAAGTTGTCAATAGTTCAAACCGGACGTGGGAAGTTGAGTTGCACAGCAGAATGGACTTGCCAAACTAATAAGAGCTTTTGACTTCGATGAGATCTATATTCAAGTTGCAAATGACAATCTAGTTACAGGATATTTGTCACATTCAATTACATTTGTTTTGTTTTTCATTTACAAATTTATGCAACTTTATAAGTTGCATGACAACTTTTAAAATGTTCTTAAACTATAGCTTCTTATGCTACAGCCATAAGCAGTTTATGTACAGTTGCAACATTTGAATAAAAATAAATCAATATTGGGGTCCACACAAATTTTTTTCCTTTGAAAGAGAAAGAAAAAACTGTCAAATTTGAAACCTGCCTTACACATAATTACTACATGCTGAGCAAATGTTTTACTTACTTTACTAAATCCAAGTTTCCATGGATGCGTACCTAAAATCTCTTCTATCTCTTTCAACACCTGTTTAGAACCTGAACTTATGAGCCATTTAAAGTGTCGAGGCAGAAGAACTGGTAGGAATTCCATTATTTTCGGAAACTGCAAAGCTGTCATTACATTTTTAAATGGAACTACAAGATACCAGAAAAGAACAAAAAAATACACAAATGAACCCAAAGAATGACTAATTTGAAGTACTTTCTCATTTTGCACAACCAATTCAAGAAATCTAAGTCAAAGACAGATTAGTACATTTGCTTTAACCAGAAAGAAAATTTGATCATATTATGACAACTGCTTTTGTACTGAGATGGTTTCATTGTGTTTAACACCAAACTTTATGTTCATTAAATGCTTCTATAATGACTTCTTAGCCTTTTGTTTCCTACTGTCTGCACTATAATCAGAACAAAAATTCTTAATTATATAAATTTAAAGCTAAGGATATAAAATAAACAATTTACATAGTAACCTTTATAATCATTTTCTATAGTCATAATCTTTTGTCATTGAAGTCATTCACTGAGGTACCATCAAATTTATTTGGTACAATTAGGAAATGAAATATTCCATATATATGAATGCCCGGATAACAAACCATATTAAAAATAATTTGAAACCATTTTGGACTGAAGTAGTTCCTAAATGTATTACTCATATCCTTGTTGTTCTCCTCTGCCTCCTTAAACAGAGTAATTTACAACTGAATTTTTTTTAAACTGAGGCAGGGTCTCACTCTTTCACTCAGGCTGGAGTATAGTACGTAGCTCACTGCAGTCTCCATTTTCTGGGTTCAAGTGATCCTCCTGCCTCAGCCTCCCAAGTAGCTGGGTCTACAGGTATGTGTCACAACTGACTAATGTATTTTTAAATTTTTAGTAGAGACAAGGTCTCACTATATTGCCTAGGCTGGTCTCAATCTCCTGAGCTCAAGTCATCCTCCTGTCCAAAGTGCTGGGATTACAGGCATGAGCAGCCATCATGACCAGCAACTGAATTTTTTTTAATTAATGATTCAAGGTAATCTCTATGAGTACAAAAGTTAGAGAGATGAAATCATGATTTTAGAGGTGGAAAGGATTTTAAAGATCAGTTTATATAATCCCTTTATGTTACACACGAGAAATCTGAAATGCCAATGGCATACTCCAAAAGCAACATAAATACATTTTTCATCAAATGGATTTTTAAAAAGACTACTATGCTGGTGGTAATATTTTAAACACAGTAGTCATTAATCCGTCAATTACACTGAAATTTGACGATAAAAATCACACTTACCTGTGCTTTCCAGAGGAAGACTCATCTCATTGTCTGGGAACAAATCTTGCTGGCCATTCCGTGCAGGCTGCTTTCGATTTTTCCTTATAGTTTCCTTTTGGAAAGTTCTTAGTGTTTCCCTAAGATTTTCAAAGTTTAGGTTTCTGTAGTTTGATACTTTATTTATCCATGTTAAAAACTGATTAATATAATCACTGGGGACACTACACTCTTTAAGAAAGAGGGCACAGATATGTTTTTGATTTGGTGGTGACATATCAGACTGCAAAAAGTAAGATGGAAATCCTTGAACTTGATATTGATAGCTCTTTGATCCCACCACAGGCTTTACTTGTACCCTCACTCTCCACCAAGCACCTGTTACAGGAAAACGTCCAAACACTTTACATTTCTCTTGTGTGTTTTCATCATGAATCAAAACTGAAAAAAAAAAGAAAGAAAGAAAAACTCATAGAAGTTAACTCTGGAAATTATTTTAAAACTGTTTCCTCCATGTTTTATCAAACTTGCCACTGTCTTTTATCTCCCTACAGCACTCTAGAAAGATGTCTGTTAGGATGCCTATAACACTGCACTCCGCCTACCTCTTTTTCTGTTTCCCTCTACTACACAATAAATACTGGAACAGGACTTTGTATTCCAAAAGGCAACCACAGTACACAGCCGGTGTCCGCTGTTCCTCTTCTAAAACCAGTCCCCTCTCTGCTACTCTGACTTCAGCCAATACCGGCCTTCCTGCAGTTTCTTTCAAATGCCATGGCCCTTCACCCAAGTTATTCCATCTGCCTTAACTGATATCCCCCTTACTGTTTAGTACATTTACTACAGGCCTCAGCTTAACTGTCACTTACTTAGAAAAGTCTTCAATGAATCTCATGTACGAAACCTCTCAAAGCACTTTTTAGCATTCCTTCTAAGCATTTAGTAACATTACAGTTACTTCTGTAATTATTTAAAGAATGTCTATTTAATACACTAGAGAGTAAGCTTCATTAAGACTGCAACCTGTTATTTTATTTCTCTGGGTTTTCCAAGCACCGAATATGCTAACCAGTGGATGAATGACTAAGCTCTCCACAAATACTTGAAAATTTTCTAAAGAAAAAAAATCCAAGCAGCTATGTTAAAGAGATGTATTTAAAGGGAAAAAAAAAAAAAAAAAAAAAAAACAGAAAAAGTTCTGCCTAAATCTGTACTGTCTACCTACATGTATCTATTTAAATTAAAATGTAATAAAACTTAAAATTTGTCTCCTCAGTTACATCAGCTGTATTTAAGTTTTAAACAGCTACATATGGCTAGTGGCTATTGTATCAGACAATGCGGATATAAAACACTGCCATCATCATGGAAAGTTCTACTGAACAGCACTGGTCTGCACATTGAAATATTCTAAGTATCAATCACAAAGTACACATAACACATATAACATAGCACAGGAAACTACTTTTTCAACGTTAACCACAACCACAAGGTTATTTACACCAGTTAATAATTATCTGTGCAATCATCTGTGCACTGAGGTGTTCTTTTTGTTTTGTTTTGTTTCTTTTTCTTTCTTTTTTTTTCCTTTTCTTTTTTTGAGACGGAGTTTCGTTCTTGCTGCCCAGGCTGAAGTGCAATGGCGCCATCTCGGCTCACAGCAACCTCCGCCTCCTGGGTTCAAGCAATTCTGCCTCGGCCTCCCAAGTAGCTGGGATTACAGGGGTGCGACACCACGCCCGGCCTGTTTTGTTTTTCCAAGAAGCTGAAAAAGAACCACGTATTTGACTCCATGTAATACAGGATAATAGTTACAAGTTCTGATTCTATAGAACTTGAGGATAAGTGGTTAGAAAGAAAAATAAAAGTTCTGATTCTGGGTGGAAATAGAGGCTCAACATCCACCGTTTCCTCAAGTGTAAAACTACTTCGAAGAAAGGCGAATATTAAAATGAGATTTATTAATACAGGACAAGTGCAAGCTTAACACAAAGTGCGTGTCCAGTTAAAGTCACTGCTATTATTATAGTTATAATTTTACCCTAAAAAGGATGAAGCAGCTAGGGAATTGAGAAGCTAAGTTTGTTAGCAGCGACTGGTGTCTTGCTCAGGGCAAAGCCAGAATGGGAAACGCTTCGTTGGACCCTTCAGCCCGCCCTATCCCCGGGGCAGGGGGCTTCCTCACCGCGGATGCACCCGGGGAGGCTCCCAGCCTTTACGCCCCCACTGCAAAGCTCCTCGGCGTCCACGAACACCGAGTCTTCATCCTCCTCCACGTCGTCCCTTAGGTAGTCGTCGTCCTCCTCCTCCACCAGGTCCTTGGGTGGGAGCAGAGGTCCCTGCAGTTGGCGAAGGTACTGACTCGACCTGGCCATAGTGCCCCCGAACTCAACTAAAACACCTGGAGAAAACCCTGGCTAAGTGCACCGCCAAGATCTCCCAATCAGCTCCACGCCTATAAGGCCTTCAACTTCCGGGAACGCCAAGGCGGTCGCCTGCGGGCGCGGGGCGAGGCGGCAGCAAAGCTCCGCCTCACGTTTCCAGAAATTGGGGGAGGAGGGTGTGGAAGGGGCGGAGCCAGACGGGCTAGGCGCGGGAAAGGGAGAGCGCGGGGCGGGGAGATGGGCGGGGCTGTTGCTTCGCTGGGATTCCTGGTGCCTGGCGGTGAAGATCAGGGAGGTGCTGGGACGAGATCTGAGCTGGGGAGTGACAGGCGTGGCACCTGCAGAACCGCCAGTGCAAGGCATCTCCTGCGAAGAGAGAACACGGAGAAAGTCCATTTCTGCTGAGTCTCAAGGACCCGGAATAGCAAGCCCCACCCCAACCTCCCCAAAACGAAAGTATAGCAGATGTCCTTCTGGAGTCGGATCGAGGGCAGCGACCCAGGATTCTGTCTTTTTAATGTACGTTCCAGGCTGTCCATTTTGATGCTCAGCTAGATTTGGACACCACTGGATTACATGACATTCAAAGTTCTTTTCATCCTTTCCCAAACTTACTTAAGCTGGTCTCCCAAACTTACTTAAGCTGGCCTGCTACCTGCTGCTGACACTGGAGCAAAAGTATTTCTTTGCAACCCAGATGATAGACAGGAATAGGGGAAGGGAACTAGAAGAGAAAAGAACGTGATTTTAAAAACTATTCTGGAGCTATAATTCTATTACTTTATGGGATAGTACTTGAAAGTCTTGATACTCTTTAAGAAATACCATAAATAGATTACTAAATTACAGTATTGTTACTGTTTATTTTGTGATTATTCTCTTAATAATAATCCTGAAATAACTAACCATACACTATTTACTAAATCCAAAAGCATCTTACACTATATTTAAATATAGGTTAAAGACAGCCATACCAAATATTTAAGAAAAATGTATAGGAGAAAATACAAAAATTGATTTTTTTTTTCCCCTTTAAGTAACAATTGACAAATGCCCACTTTTGTTGCTCTTAAAAGAAATACTGCTGCTGCTGAAAAACACCAGCGTTTCCAAGGATTGGCTATATGAGGTTGAATTCCTTTGACATTCACATGACTACTGTTTCCACTGCAACATTGAATCTTCCCCTTACTACATTTACTACAAACCTCAGCTTAACTGTGTGACAAATGTCACACTTACTCTCCTCTTTGTTTCAAAACCCAGTAGATACTTTTCAGTCTGTTTTACCTGACCTCTCAGCAGGATTTGATATTATAACTATTTTCTTCTTGTAGCATTCTGTTGCCTGGGCTTTTGTGACTTGCCTTCTCAGATTTTTCTCCTTCTTCTCTATTTACAGTCTTGGACTCCTCTGCTTGCCTCCTAAGTACTGGTATTCTCCAAGGCTCCATCCTAAGCATCTTCTTGCTCTATAATCCTTTCCTCAATCATCCTTCCCCTACATGCTAATCTGATCTCCAAACCATTCAAGTAACTGCCTAAAACATTGCCAGTCACTGCTGGATGCCTCTGACTCAGCATATCTAAACTGCAACTTATCAGCTTCCCAAATCTGGGTCACTTATGTGTATATACATGGGATATTCTTGCTACCAACATGTTGACTTGGACATAAGACTCGACTCTACATCTCTAGATGTTTCTTCTTTTTTTTTTGAAGACAAAGTTTCACTGTTACTCAAGCAGCTCTTGAACTCCTAAACTCAAGTGATCCTCCTGCCTTGGCCTACCAAAGTGCTAGGATTACAGGCATGAACCACCACACACAGCACAGGTGTTGAACTCCCACTACTTTTTTTTCAAGACAGGTCTCTAGTGGTGCCATCGCAGCTCACTGAAGTCTCAACTCCCAGCAGGCTCAAGTGATCCTCCCACATCAGCCTCTCAAGTAGCTGGGACCACAGGCCTGCACCACTGTATCTGGCTAATTTTTTGTGTGTTTTTTTGTAGCAACAGGTCTTCACCATATTGTCCAGGCTGGTCTAGAACTCCTGAACTCAAGTGACCTGCTGGCCTTGGCCTCCCAAAGTGCTTAGATTACAGGAATTAGCCACTGCACCCAGCCACTAGATGTTCAGCTTCTATTCATATAGTTCAATTGCGTTTTATTGGCTAGTGTAGGTAGAAGTTTAGGATGGTAAGAATCTTACTTCTTCACTTACTGTTTTCTCATTCTTTAAAAAAAGTTAACAATTCTGGCTTTCTGGATACCATTTTTACCATACATGGTAAGCACTGGTGCTCAAACCTGGCTGTGCATCAGAATCACTTGGGATGTGTTCTAAAATTGAGATCCCTGGATCTATCCTGAAGCTATAATTCCCAAAACACAAAACAACATAGACATAGGTTATCTACTGTCTGGTTTTAGTAATAGCCAATGACTTGAAATAGCAAAGATGTTCAACAGCAAGAGACTAATGAAATAAATTGTAGTACATCCATATAGGGGAGTATTCTTCAGCTAATTTATATATATATATATATAAAGAAAGATTTCTACAAATTGGTAGGGAATAGTTTCCAAGACACTGTATTAAATAAGAAAAAGTAAGATGTAAAACAATGCATATCATTTTATTTGTATGTGCTAGTGTTTGGCGAAAAAGAAGCACAGGAAATATAAACCAGAAGTTAATGAAAATAGTCAGGAATGGTGATTCGTGTCTCTAATTCTAGCACTTTGAGAGGCTGAGGTAGGAGGATTGCTTGAGCCCAGGAGTTTCAGACCAGGTTGAGCAACATCGCAAGACTTTGTCTCAAAAAATAATAATAAATTAGCCAGGCACAGTGGCATGTGCTTGTAGTCCAGCCACCCTTGAGGCTGATATGAGAGAATTGTGTGAGCCCAGGAGGCTGAGACTGCCGTGACCCATCATAAGAAGAAGAAGAAATTGATGGAAATGGTTACCCACAGAAGGGATGAAAACAGGATAGGACAGACAGGGGATAGGAATGAGATCTCTGAGATTAGCTTATCATATAGTTTGACTTCTGAATCATGTGTCTTACACATTCAAAAAACAAATAAAAGAAACAAAAGCAACACAGAAAATTGAACACAAACAGAAACAAATCTATCAAGTGAATTGCATACTAAAAGACAATGATTATTTCAAGTTATGTTTAAATACTTTGGATAGATATTTTAAGTTACTCTGACTATGCACCCCTAGTAGTTCTACTCTGAAGACAAAAGATCTACAAAATGATCTTAAACTTCATTCATTATGATTAATGTTTGTTGTAATACTGTTATTGTAATTTTGAAATTATATATTGTAGGATAAAGAAAATAAGTAAATATATCATATTTTATCAAAGGTTTTAAATATACATGGAAAGAAACACAAATATAAAATAAAATAAGTTGGAAAAAACCTCCTACAACATTAAACTGGAATTGAAAATATCAATATGGGCTTGTGATTTCTTAAAATATATTTTCTAGTTCTGTGTACTAAAAGGACCTAAAAGCAATGTCACCGCAAGAACTCTGATCACACTCACCATCTCAATTTTGTTTGTTTGTTTATTAGACAGAGTTGTGCTGGAATTCAATGTCACAATCATAGCTCACTGTGGCCTTGAACTCCTGGCCTCAAGTGATCTTTCTGCCTCCCCCTTCCCAAAGTGTTGGGATTATAGCTCACTGCACTCAGTCTACTTTTGGTTTTGGAATCTGGGTGATTTTGTGTTTTCTAAAGCAAGGACCAGCCAGGCATCATGGCTCATGCCTTTAATCCCAGCACTTTGGGAGGCTGAGGTGGGCAGATCATTTGAGGTCAGGAGTTTGAAACCAGCATGACTAACATGGCGAAACTCCGTCTCTACTAAAAATATAAAAATTAGCCGGGTGTGGTGGTGTGAGCCTGTAATTCCAGCTACTTTGGAGGCTAGGGCAGGAGAATTGCTTGAACCGCGGATATGGAGGTTGCAGTGAGCTGAGATTGTACCACTACACTCCAGCAAAAATAAATAAATAAATAAATGTGAGGAAAATTTTAGTATCAAAAGGAATAATGATTGCACTTGATTATAACAGACTGAGTAAAAAAATTGATGTGTTAATTGTGATAGTTAAAAAAAGAATGAAATGCCAGTTAATAGAAATTTTTAAAAAGAAATTCTAAAAATAGAAACCAGCATTTTCAAAAACCAGCATTTTGCACCCCAGTGTAATAACTGATTCAAGCAAGTATCACCAAAAAATATGAGCACCACTGGGAAACTGATAGTCTCATGGCAGTAGTAGATTATGAATTGCAAAGGGAAAAATGTACCTATACAATAAAGGTACTTATCACTCACCCCTTAATCAAGTTATCAAACACAGTATCAATAATGGGACACAGCTGATACATATTTCATGCTATGATGCAATAAGATATACATGAGAGTAGCTATTAAGTATTCTTTCCAAAAGTATTTAACCTGATTTTAATCAAGGCTCTAGATCAGTAGTCTGATAGAGATATAATATGAACCATGTATGTAATTTAAAAGTATCTAGTGGCCACATTGAAAAAAGAAACGGGTGACATTTTAATGATACATTTTATTTAATCAAAGATATTCAAAATATTATTTCAAGATGGTAATCAATATAAAAATTATTAACAAAATATTTAATATTTTTTTCATCCTAAGTCTATAAAATCTGGTCTGTATGTTACCCTATAGCACACTTCGATTCGAACTAGTCACATTTCAAGTGCTCAAAATCCATGTGTCTAGTGACTACTATTTTGGAAAGCACAGTTGTAGACCTAATTTCCTATTTCAAATCCAAGGAAGTAAGGTACCAACTAAATGATACCATAAGGAAACAGAAAGATCTAGAACAAAGGTGAGAAAACTTTCTTTTGCAAAGGGACAGATAGTAAATATTTCAGGCTTTGCATGCCATATATGGTCTCCATCACTCCTCCACCTCCTCCTTCCTTCTCTTCCTCTTCTTTTTTAATAATCCTTTAGATATGTAAAGCCTATTCTTAGCTCTACAGCTGTACAAAAACAGGCTGTAGTTTGCCCACTCCTGATCTAGAATATGGGACATTCTACAAGGCAACTGACCTGGACATTCCAAA